GCAACTCACAATCTCCGGTTCCAAAATCAATAGTGTTGATCAGTGTCCATAATAAAATGACGAATCACGAAAGGAAAATCTTAAGAATCCATGAGAGAGGTACCGAATATCATTATGTTTGCGGTTGACAAGAAATTCGGAGACACACAAACAAATGCTAGAATGACACAAAATTGATCGTAGTAGTTAATACTTTCCATTCTCTACCATGTCAATTATCTCAACCGCTTTGAGCGGTCTTTTTGACTGTGTAAAACAACTCGTAAGCGATGCAACAGGTTACCGAAAGGACAAATTTTTAGACACGGTTCATACTGACGTGAAGTCGCTCACCGTTCGGTTTATGGTAATTCCCGGTTACCTTGACGATTTTGACAGTTTCCTTTCCAAAGAATAATTTCATTAAGAAGAAAACTAGACATTTTATCAGAGAGAGACATAAAAACAGACTGTCTGTTCAAAACAATTTCCGCCCTGCGCGTTATCTTATTCAAACCATATCCTGTTGATGTTTCGCAGAACGGAGGAGAAGAAAACTCAAGTTCCGTTGGAAGAAAAAACAATTCGTTTGACCTTCCCCCCAAAAGCACGAACTGTATCAATTCTTTGTCAATACTTGTCAATACTCTATCGGGAAACGTTAGCGGGTTTGGTCGGAAGCTTCCTGTAAAAACTTTAGCTAAATGACAATTCATGTATGTATATCACTAAACTTCCTCCATTTCTATATGGAAGAAGTATCGGGCAATTCGTTTATCGCTTCTCCGTCTACGGCTTGAACAGGTCGAAGTGAACGAATAAAAGTCAAATACCTCCAGATGAGGCGTCATCAGAAACTTGGGTATCGCATTCTGTCGGTCGTTGTGGTGATTGCCTATTGTATGACCACCATTGTAGCATCAACGTGATGCCACGGGAAATTTTGATGACAGTATTGAAACTTAAGATAAAGCAGCAAAAATTAATGTATTTTCGTTCAGATACTTGATGTGAAATCAATTTTAGACAGTTGGCCTCTGCTAAATTCCTAAAGCACGACAGTAAACTTGCTGTCTATGATTTTGAACGCTCGAACCACCACCACTGAGAGACACTTGACTCCACAAGGTCGTTTCATAATCACTGAATGCAAAGTTCCGTGCATCTTGAATGAAATAATGCGCTTTACGTAATGCATAGCCTAGAAGTTTCCTTTAGTGGGAAGCCAGGCAGGAAATTGTTAGATTTAACAAGCATCACATCGAAGAGCGTGGTTTGAGTCTAAGCTGGAAAACGTTGTAAAATGGGAGTAGGAAAACTTCCGTGTGATGGTCAGATGCGGAATGTGTCTTAAGAGCGAGTCTATCAATAAGCAAAACTGTTCGCTCGTAATAGTCTTGAAAAGATCGGTTCTGCGATGTTGTGAATCAGAGAAACTGTTTATTCAGTTACCTAATAGTCTAAAATGTATTACTCGTGTGTCTTGTGGCTGTGATGTTCCCAGTTCGATCCCCGGTACAGTCGATGGATTCCCGTATCTGATACTGCCTACTAAGGTTAAATTAATGTCCAGTTCTTCTTGGATCTCAAGTTCTTGCTTTTATTTCCTCTGAAGGATGTAAATTATTTTAGAACCCTGGGAATTCATTGGCAGTTCCCCACGATGAATTGGTTGTCTGCCGGTTATCTGTCACAGCCCTTCCAGTTTGCGTTCCCCCGGCATTGATACACAACTGAGGCGCCAGGCGATACTTAAAAATAGCACAACTTCCTCAATTTGTAATTGGAAATCCAAAATGTTCAATGGGTACAGCGCAAAATCTCTAAATCTGTACCAAAATGAATGTGAACGAGGTTTCGTTTCTCATTATTTTACCTGACCGAGTCGTTTCCACGAGCCCGTTGCTCAGTCGTAAGCAGCACGTTCCACTCAAACAATTGCTCTGTTAAACTCTGTGTGTATAGGTGCATCATTAACCTCATTCACTGTTTGGGGGGAAAACTGCACGCATGTCTGTGACCGGAAGCTGTGCAGATTTTAGTAGTCAAGTAAAAACCGGTGCATGAAAATACATTGTATTCAGTCATATCCGGGAAGAAAATTTTCATAGTGTACACTTCAGGCTCCAGACTTCAGTTCATAACGGATGTTCCTTTGCGGTAAACTAACGAAGCAACGGATACGCAATGTCAGACAGACGGAATGACTACTTGAGAGCTGATTGTAAAGATATTCATTATAGGTGAAATCTAGAGTTTATTGGATGATGCAAAATCTGACTATAATTATACGTGCATAGTTTGCACAAAATTGATGGTATCCAGAATGTAAAATCTGGGTTGTCTATTGTTACTAATCCTACAACCTTATGAAAACCTAGATTCGGTTGGTTCCAACATCCACCAGCACCAAGTTGAAGTAGTAGTGAATATTTACAATGTTCCCCGATACAATATCTTACCCTTTATTTCGGATATCGTGAGTGCTGTGTCATTCTGAGTTCTCGGTTTGAAGTGAACTCTGAGGAGTTTGTGGAGCAGTGCTTCGAGTTGTGCAAGCTCTTGATGTTTAGCCTTTCTGGCAAATACTCACCAAAATGACCTGAGTCAGCCTGGGTAAACGAACCAACCCCCGAAAAACCTGTCCTTGTAATGTTGAATTTCCTCGCAGCAAAATGCTGGCACAATGTACTTTCGGTTGGTCTCATTCGGGCCGATCAAGTTACATGTTGTTGAAGGGCGTTACGAAGTTCAATACCCTTCAGTTTGCCGCGTCAAGTTTCCACAGGGAACGAAAATTTCAGATTTAGTTGCCAATTAGAGAATCGATTTAATACCGTCCGGAGGAATGATGTGGCTTCCAATTCGGGGGTGGGGAAATCGTAACTCTCTGTAGAAAACTAAGCATTAACTAACACAGTATGATCAACTGCATAGGGTCACATCATCAGCTATCCTAGTCTGGTATTCCGTAACCTTTGTTAACCTAATGAACACTCAATGAGACGAGAATGACTAAACAGCCTGATACCCAGAGATTGAAAATGGCGAACCACCTATTGCCCGGGTGCGCTGAGTGAGAAATTAACCTGAGAAACATCTGATTATCCCAGTGATGGTTAAAGACTCAAGATTTGCTTCTAATGAAACAGTGAAATGCGGAAAGTAGTTTTTTTTCTTACATACCAAGGTGTGATGAACAGCAGACGGGTTGAACCCCATAGTCACGAGGACCTGCTGTTCAGTGGAGGAAACCGGCAACCTAAGCCCCGGGACTTGGAGTGGCGAACCAAGAAAGGCCGCGATAGGTAAGGTGTGGTATTGAACCGGACGGCAGCAGAGCTGCCCACCAAAGTCGGGTGGCGGTGGAGGGGATAGAACCTCGAACTATAGGGTCCAAAGCATGCCGGTGACAGTGACTAGACCACCAACAATAGTTAAATTTTGAGAACAGCCACTTGCATTCTTTCCACCCATCGATCACCCGGACAAGAGTGCATGGATAGGTTATTTCATTCACCACAGCACTGGATGAGACAGCACAATTTGTTAGGACGGTCGGGTGTCACATGCGTTTGACTAGAAAGAATGCACCGCTTCTGGTGTTGTTCTATGCTTTCTGTAAAATCTTCACCCTGCATTGGTTGCATAAACTTCAAGACATAACTATTCAAGAAATATATGATTAACCATGAGGTCATATGTTTACACAAATCATATGTGATGTAGGTAGAGCGATGATCGTATTTTGAAGTAGTGGCCCGGTGGTAACATCAAATTATCACCCCGGGGATGTGCGTTCGCATCCCACCACCACCACCATCAGATTTTCCCTATTGTGTTGAATGGCAGCTTCCCCCTTCCTGAAAATTGTATCTTTGTAT